GGTGCCCTGCCTGGTGACTGGGAGGTGCCACCATGCACACGTGCTTGCCCAGGCTGAGGGCCTCTGTGCTGAGGCTGCTCACTCCTCTGTAAGGTGTGAAAATCAGTCACACGCCTGTCACTTGGTGATGGTGGTGATGGGGACCTGGTTCCCAGCAGTCAGAGGTCACAGGGACAGTCCCTGCTGAGGACAGTTCTCTAGGCGTTGGTTGACTTCTGTACATCTCCCATCCTCACATTCCCTGACCCTGCCTTGGTTCTATAATCACAGTTCTGGAAACTTCTCTGGGGTCCAGTGTTACTGGATCCTTGGCACCTCATGAACCTGTCTTTCACAGGGTGTTTATTTTTTTCCCCCCACAGGAAGACACTATGCTCAGGCTTCCTGTGAGTATGAGTGGGGGAGGGGTGATCCTGACACCCTGGAATAGCACAGACAGGAGCCTGTGGGGCCACCTCCCATAGTTCCTCCTCTAATTCTTCCCCTGTGGCTCTGATGAGGCCCTATGTTTGTCCCCCAAGGCAGCAACAGTTCCCAGTGTCACACAGTGCTCTGATGTGTCTCTCACGACTCCTAAAGGTGAGACCCTGCAGGGCTGGGGGTGGGGAGGGGACAGTACTGGGCTGTGGGGATCTGGGTTGGGACGTGTTGAGCACACGAAGGCCTCATCAGAGGTTCCTGTTACAGTGACTGACGTGAGTTGTTCGTGGTTCTCTCCTTAGTGTGAGACGGCGGCCTGTGAGGACAGAGGGACACGGGATTGCTCAGTCTCTGCACCCCCCACTGGGACGTCAGTGTCCCCGACCACTCTTCCTGCACCTGAACATGTCTGCGTGTCTGTGTCCCTGCAGCCTAATGTGAGGACACAGGGACTCAGCCTGTCCCTGAGCACTGGGACCCCTTGCCACACTGCCCTGTGCTCTCTGCCCTGACCAGCTTTCCTGCTCCAGGAGGGTCAGGATGGGATGTGTCCACTCCATCTCACCTTCGTGTTGCACTGAGCTGCAGCTTCCTTCTTCCTTATTGAAAATAAGAATTTGGATATTGATTTGTTTTTTACATTCTTGCTGTAGAAGTCATCGATGAATAAACTGAAGAAGAAGCTTTTCAGAACTCAGGACAGGAAATAAAACCTGAGAGCTGCCCAGGCTGTGTTTGCTGCACTGGGTCTGCTGCAGTGGGGACAGGAGGAGGCAGCAAGTTGCCAAATGTGGACTGGACCATAGACAATTAGCACTCCGTTCATTGAGGGTTCAGCATGATCATTCTTCTGGGTCACCTTTGCTGCTGCTTTATCCTGTTCTTTGAGTTGAACCTTGTCCCACCTGGACCTGTCATCACAAGGATTTAAACATCACCGGTGCCTCGTCCCATCTCCAGAGCTTGGACACTGAGGGACGTGTGTGCCTCATCAACCTCGGCTCAGGCCTGGGTCTGGCCCTCACCTTCCACTTGGTGTATTTATTTGTTCTTTCTTTGTTTCTGTGGAGGAATCTCTCTGTTCTTGTTTTTTATTTGTGTTTTCTTTTCTTTTCTTTTTTTTTTTTTAGAGGTTTTTGCTATAGGATGCGGTGTGCTTACCAGAAAGACAGAGAGACAGAAAGCGAGAAATTACCCCCTGGGGGGATGGTCACACCACAGTTCCTTCTCCTCCATTCTCCTCTTGAGATCTTGGGCATGCATGTGCACATGCCCAGCGTGAGTTTACAAAAAAGGGTCTTGGACTTAAACTGCGGTCGACTACATGGGAGTCCAGAGACATAGCCATTACACCAACTGCTGGTCCCAGAATCTCTCTGTTCTTATTCTCATGTACGAGTTGAGTGTCCTTCTTCTCTGACAGCAGCAGGAGTCACTTTCCTGTCATTGTTCCTATAAGGCCTAGGTAGACCCAGCCCACAGGGTCTGTGGTATCAAGAGATGGATTTTCAGACTCGTCCAGCTCTGGCCCTTCTGGGGCTGTTCCATGGACTGTGTTTTCCATCTCCCCATCTCTTTCTAAAAAACCATATGCTAGAACTTGCAGAGAAGAATCCCATAACTGCTTGTTTTAAATAAATCTGAGCTGAAATTCTGCTCTATTTGTCTGCCTCCTCCTGCCCCTAGCTGTGATTATCCCAGTCCTGACCCCAGTTCAAACTCATGGATTCATAAAGCAGAATCTAATTTTGATTCATATTTGTTCTTAAAATAAGACCCATAATCAATAATCAGGAATTATAAATCTTGCTTACACTTCTGTCCTGAGACACTGCTCTTACAGAACAGCCTGGCAGTTTTGAAACTGAAATTGAACAGTTTGCAGAGACCCTAAATGGCTGGTTTATAACAGATGATGCTTTGCAAGAACTTGTGGAACTCATCTATCAACAGGCCACATCTATCCCAGATTTCTCTTACATGGGAACTCACCTATTTAATTACCTGTCCCATCATCTGACAATGAACTCAGAGTAGCAACTTTCTCCAGTTGCTACTTCTAAAATGTCAGACTGAATGTAAAGTTAAAGGTCAAACTGCAAAAGGGCATGGAGTGACCTGGAAATGATTTCATTTGTTTTTACTCTTTCCAGAGAAGTTTATCTTCACCTGGAGATCAAGGGAACAAATGGACATGTTACAAGAGCTAATATTCTGGTTGGTCTTTGAGAGTTGACAAGTGCCCTCTTTTTGATCTGCTGGGTAAGAATTTATGCAGTGAGATTATTGAGACTGACAGAGGCAGTTTTGAAGATGCTTGGAAGGAAAAAGGGCTAATATGGAAGAAATTATCCAGAGAATTGAAAATGTCTTAGATGCAAACTGCAGCAGTGAAACAGATGCTGTTAGAGTGCTTAGAAGCAACCCCTGAAAATGATCCTAACTACTTTATGAATGAACCAACATTTTAGACATTTGATGGTGTTCCTTTCACTGCAGCTGATCCAGGTTACCAAGAGAAATGTGAATTACTCGAAAGAGAGGACTTGGGATTTAAACATCATCTGTGCCTCATCCCATCTCCAGAGCTTGGGCACTGAGGGACCTGTGTGCCTCGTCAACTTCAGCTCAGGCCTGGGTCTGGCCCTCACCTTCCACTTGGTGTATTTATTTGTTCTTTCTTTGTTTCTGTGGAGGAATCTCTCTGTTCTTGTTTTTTATTTGTGTTTTCTTTTCTTTTCTGTACTGATCTTTATTATTTCCTGCCTTTTACTAATTTGGAGTTTGGTTTGTTTTTGTTTTTCTAGTTTCTTCATTTGCATTGTTAAGCTGTTTATTTAAAATCTTTATAGTTTTTCATATAGGTATTTAATGTTATAAACACCTTATCCAAGACTGTTTTTACTGTATTCCAAACATTTTGGAATGTTGTATCTATTTTTTTTCTTTTATAACAAACTATGTTTAAATTTCCTTCTTAACTTTTTTCTTTGGTCACTCAGGAGCACATTGTTTGAATTTCATTTATTTTTATTGGTTTCAAAGTTCCTCTTGTTTTGATTTCTAGTCTGATTTCACTGTGGTCAGCAAGGACATGATATATGATTTCAAATTTTATTGATTTGTTTAGTCTTGCTTTGTGTCCATTGATATGGAATATACTGCTGTTCTGGGTACTAATGAGGAAAATATGTATTCTATAGCTATTGGATGAAACACTGTAACCATATGCTAAAATTTACAGAGAAGAAGAATCTCATAACTGTTTATTTTAAATAAATTTGTGCTGGAATTCTGCTCTGGTTGCCTATCCCCTCCTGCCTGTAGGCTGTGGTTATCTCAGCCCTGATTCTAATTCAAACTCATGGATTCATGAAGCAGAATCTAATTTTGATTTATATTTGTTCTTAAAATAAGACCCATAAGTCAATAATCAGGAATTATAAATCTTGCTTACACTTCTGTCCTGAGACACTGCTCTTACAGAACAGCCTGGCAGTTTTGAAACTGAAATTGAACAGTTTGCAGAGACCCTAAATGGCTGGTTTATAACAGATGATGCTTTGCAAGAACTTGTGGAACTCATCTATCAACAGGCCACATCTATCCCAGATTTCTCTTACATGGGAACTCACCTATTTAATTACCTGTCCCATCATCTGACAATGAACTCAGAGTAGCAACTTTCTCCAGTTGCTACTTCAAAAATGTCAGACTGAATGTAAAGTTAAAGGTCAAACTGCAAAAGGGGATGGAGTGACCTGGAAATGATTTCATTTGTTTTTACTCTTTCCAGAGAAGTTTATCTTCACCTGGAGATCAAGGGAACAAATGGACATGTTACAAGAGCTAATATTCTGGTTGGTCTTTGAGAGTTGACAAGTGCCCTCTTTTTGATCTGCTGGGTAAGAATTTATGCAGTGAGATTATTGAGACTGACAGAGGCAGTTTTGAAGATGCTTGGAAGGAAAAAGGGCTAATATGGAAGAAATTATCCAGAGAATTGAAAATGTCTTAGATGCAAACTGCAGCAGTGAAACAGATGCTGTTAGAGTGCTTAGAAGCAACCCCTGAAAATGATCCTAACTACTTTATGAATGAACCAACATTTTAGACATTTGATGGTGTTCCTTTCACTGCAGCTGATCCAGGTTACCAAGAGAAATGTGAATTACTCGAAAGAGAGGACTTTTTTCCAGATTGTGAAGAAAATGAAACAGATTTATCAGGGGCTGGTGATCCATACTTGTATGATATTGGTGATGAGCTGAATCCAGACATAAAGTTATGGAAAGCTTTGTTTGCAGAGTGTAAGTGAAAACCGTAAAGTTAAATTTCAGTATATCAGTTTTATAAAGCAGTTTAGGTATGGTGATTTAGCAGAACACAGGACAGCAAGAAAATGTGTCACACTTACACCAAATTAAAGATGAGTTTTGTTACTAATGTATGGAAATTATGTTAAACTTTATTCCCTATAATTTAAAATTTGTATATAATAGTTTATTATTTACAGTCAATTCCACTGTTTTCACTGCAACAAAATCAACTTTGTAATTAATGAAATGTTGAAAGTGAATTTTGCTAGTTGGTTAGGTGCTTATTCTTTATATTTTGCTTTTTTTTTTTTGAGGGAAGAGGTTTTTGCCTTGAAATATTACTGCAAAATGTAGCATCCTTTTTAGTTATCAGTTATACCTTTAATTTTAGTTTGACATTTAGTATCCAATGAATTGAGCTTCAAATATAAATCACAATCTTAAAATTTTTTATCACTGAAATCTTGGATCATTAAGTAATTTACATATGCAGATGTTATTTGATACTATGGGCTTTTAAAATGTCATTTAAAAAATGGCTTAAAGATCTCAACTAAACAACAGAGGCCTTTCACTGAGAATTTATTCCAGTTTTAGAATTTTTTGTTGTTTTCACTTGACTAGTTTTATTAATCTAAGGCCTAGATCATTATTCTGCTTTATTTATATTGATACAGGAATGTGCAGGTGCAGGGGTGATAGGGCTCAGCACTCACAGTGAAACATGGGTTCTTGTCCTGTGCTCAGGAAGGATTAAAGACACAGACATAGAGAGTAGGTATAGCAAAGCTGAGAGTCTATTGAAGGAGAGGGAAGGAAACACAGCACTCTCAAGAAGGGACAGGTCCTATAAAATGGATTGTCAAGGAGGAGCTGAGGCAAAGGTTTTTTATCTGGGTCAGCAGGACCTTGTTTAGCCTTGTTCTAGGTAGGGCTTGTGAATGCATTCCCCTCATGTTTGAGAGGGATACATGTTAGATGGGTCCACTTATTCTCCCAACTATGGAGTAGGTAGAAAGCTAGGAGAGTCTTTGTCTAGAAACATTGGGCCATAAAAACCATTATCTTATCCCCTTCCTGGAATGTAGTGGAGGCTGGAAAAAGCCTTTGTTTCAGGCCTAGGTCATGCTGCCTAGGTCAGTCACTGAGCCACCACTGTGAGAAGTCTCTCTGAGCAAGCAACTGATTTGTCTCCATCTTCAAACTTAGCCATTTTGTGATTCCATTTTTGGCCTATATCCTAACTGTATTTTCAGAGTCCCTATCTCCTACCTCAATATGGCTTTCTTATTTTTAGTTTCTAATATGGATTGCATTGACTTTTTTACTAGAGAATTTTATTAATCTGCTCTATAAGGGATACACCTTGAGGATCACTTTTCTAATATTTTTACTATATATGGTACCA